GACATTTACTGACAGGATTACACGTTGAGGTTACAACTCATAAATACGTAAAAAGTTTTTTTTTTCTGCAATTAGTCACAGAACATAGGAAGTACAGTAAACCTATGTGTAGTTACACAATCACTTTCATTCTAAATAAAAGTTGCTGACTAAGCCTGATATTTTTGTGTGTGTGTGTTTGGGACAGGGAGGTTCCTGACAGAGGTGAGATGTTGCTAAATATAAGGCAATAATGAGGCAAAATGTTAAAGCTGCAAATGGTTCCCTTCCTGCAAATTAACAACCAGAGCCAAATAAATACCTTTAGAGATCATCTCCATCCAATTATATTGCTCTTGATCTATTTTGAAGAGCAAAATGGTCAGAGCTAGTTTATAAAACCAGAGCTGCAAGTCCATTTGGAAATGTATAAAGCGTTAAATCTGTGATCAGAATTCCAATACATGTTAAGTTATGATTGTTTTCTTCCCTTTTCACCTGCCAGCAATGGTCTATGTTGGTTGTGTCATCTAAAAAAACTTAAAGAAAAAAAGCACTTTATGGTTGCAATAAACAATGTTAAAAGGTTTGGTTCAGGAATAATGTAAACATTGTTTTTTGCAAGGTTATCTAGCAGAGTTGAAATTGTTTCAGTTATATCAAACTTGACAGTCCTACATTCAGATCAAGTTTCAGTTTTGTTTGATATACTATATGTTATGGTAAGAACTTGGATAAAAAGTACCCTCACTGCATATGTTTAGAGCTTTTCTATTATTCATTATAAAATCATAGATTTTAAAGCTTTAACGGAAAGAGTCCCACTGACATGTTCTAAGCTGATATATTTTCCATTAGCATACTGATATTATTTGTCCCATCAATTTCTGCAAAAGGTTCAATTGATAAGACGGTATATAAAAACACAACATGATCCTTGTACCCTCTGTGGAGTTGATAACCATAGCTGTGATGTGTAAAGCTTGCCCATGACCTGCATGCATGGGTCATGTTGATGTCGTCAGGAAAGCAGAGTTCAGTTCAGTTTGCTACAGAGCCAAGCTGACCGGTCCAGTTCTTGTTCTGCATCTGAGCAGCGCTCCCACAGGAGAACCGAACAATGCTCCCAATTGTTTCGCAACATTTAAGGTGTGTCTTTAGCTCCAATTAGAACAACTAAAGTAATTGATTTACCTGTGACCAAGTGAACTGCCTCTTATTGAGCTATTAATCATAATCAGGGAAGTGTGCAAGAATAAAACATTTGAATCTTAAGAGTCATCTCAAAGTGGATTGCATTGATTGAGTTACAATAATAAGTTTAAAGCACTTAAACGCTATCACTTAGTTCAGCCTGCTGCCTTTTTAAAGAAACTGAGGCTTGAGGGAGTGGAAAATGACCAAGCAAGTACAATAACTTATCAGGAAGCGAAGTTATCATTAAGCAGTTATAAAGCTTTATTTCAAAAGATAATAAAACATAGCAACAATAAAAGAACAGAGCTCTGTGGCTCTACTACGGATACAAAGTGAGGCAAATGTTTTTAACTTAAAAGTCTGACTAAGGTTTATCTTTTTCTAGGTCATCGGACTCCTTATCTCCACTGAACTAAACAGACCATCCTGGGCTGCAGACTAATTTGACCTCCTGACTGCGTTCACAAATCTGGACTTCTGATTTTAATGCTTGTCTGCAGGGATAACCATCAATATGAGTGTATTAATTGATCTAAAATCACAGCACTCAGTCCATTTTTTCCTATATGTGGGCATAGTATTTTAGCTGTACATTGTTTTACTCAAGAAAAAGTAGAGAGTAGTCATCGAAGAAATAACCCAAATAAGAGTAAAAAGTAATTGGTAAAATGGCTACGCCGGTAGTGAGTAATAGCTGAAAGTAACATCAACTTTAATATGATGTAATCAGTCATCAGAGTTCATTTTGTAAATTACGATAGCTAACATATTAGTCATAACCTCCACAGATCAGAGGTATGAGGGAAGCCATGAGGAGTTCTGTTTGCAGTTTCTCAAAGAGCCGTGTAAGGAGATAGTAAACATTGAAGAAACGCTTCTTGGCAGGTGAGGGGAAACCCAAATCTGCCTGCTTGTCGAAGCACTCCACGTCCTGATGGTGAAACATGGTGGTGGCAGCATCATGTTTTAGAGATGTTTGTATTTCCTGGAGAAAAGGGAAGCTTATAAAACTAAATCCTGGAAGAAAAGCTTCTAAAACAGGGGTGTCTAATTATGGGTACGTGTCAATTTGCATGAATATTTCATTGCACTAGTTCTAAAGATGAGACTGAAAAATGTAGAGGAGACTAGAAATTGAAGACTGGAATTTGACCCCAGTTCCTTTCAAGCGACTGAGGCGTTGGTTCACTATCTAACACGGCAACACCTCTTAAACAGCCAGAGCAGAATGATTTAGATTGGTCATTAGGAAATATATTATTGTGAGTCACTGTACAACTGAAAGATGGAGGAGTAGCTTATCATTACACTTTAACCATCCTGTTTTACTCTACAAAAGAGAATTTTATGAGACTAATAATTGATGGCTATAGAAGATTTAACCAGGCGTATTAACTTGTAAGCATAATAGGTACATTCTAACTACAACTACTCCTTTACTTTAATTAAAACATTTAACAGAATACATTGATTCAGTCACTGTTATCCTTGTTTGTCATGTGTAGTTTATAGCATATTATGATAGGGCTGTTATATTTACATAGGATGATTTTTAAAAGTTTAAAAAAGGATGCAACTTGTATCAGTGTTCCTTTGTTAAAGGAATGGTTGCTTAGCTTCTTTGGCCCACGGGAGTTTTGCCTCTGGTTATGTGGCTTCATGCTCTGCTTATTTTTATTGACTGTTCTTAGAATCCATACTAAATTTGGTAAAAGAGTATTTCATTTTCCAGCACCATATGCTTGAAATTTGCTTCAGAAGGAACTTCTGCTCTATTTTTATTGATTTTTTAGCAGAAACAAATTCTATATTTTTGGTGGTTTTATTTACTGATGTCATTGATATTGTACTGTGCTTCTTGTATCTAACCCTTTAACCATATCATTGTCAGGAAAACCTTTCAAAATAAATCTTTGATGATGGAACCGTATAGATTTAAGGTATTTTTTTCACATTGCAGGAGTGTGGCAGTTGCTGCTGTATAATACCTGCAGGTTTTATCAGTTTTTCAGATTTTTTAGCAGATGGTATAGTTGCATTGGATGTACCAGTAATATTTGTTATGCATTTTTCTTGTGATTTATTTCTTTATAAGGAATCTTTTTATTCTGATGGTTTAAGTGAAGGGCCGACACACGGCATAAGAAAACCAAGCGACTGCTTAGGCCTCCAAGAATAATTAGTTGTTTTTTAGCCAGTATAATAATTTCTATAGAAATTACAGTGACAAAAAGACACAATTTCATGCGACAATTTTCACATTTTTTTTACACCAGTATATCTCTGATCATGTGCAAATCACCCCATACATAAAAAATATTGGTGTTTGGGCCAGACTGACACAAAGACGGACCAGAGTAAACTTCTCTTTTGATAGCGGCCTGAAAGTGATGAGAGAGCACTGGCCTCAGAGATGGAAACCCTTCCAGAGATCCTAAAGCACATTTTACCTCATTTACTCTCTTATTTCTCTACCCAAATCTTTGGGTTACTTCTTTGGAGGATCTGCACTCGCCCTGTAACTGCTGCAGCTACAACGCTGAGCTTTTTCAACCTCAAAGTTATCAAGAACTACTCTGCAGAAGGATGAAAAATCAGTGGTAAGTAACAAAGACAAAAAAAGCTGTCTTTTAAAGTATCTATTAAAGTGATGTAATTTACTTTGCAAAGTCATATATGTGGGTAAAAGTAGTTTTCATGGTAGTTTCAGTTTGTTTAAATAGCTAATGAGAACTAATTATTAAACGTTGCATTTCTTTTTCTACCTGGCTGCAAGTAACTTTTTATCTCAGTTATTTAAGAACATATTTTTGTACAAATATTATTTTCATTTCAAGGCATTTGTTTTGTGTATATTGCTGATAGAGTTGGGACTAAAAAGCGTAAACTACACGACACTGTTACTGCAAATAAGCTGCATATTCGTTTATTTTCACTACTTTGAGTCCCACAAGAAGAAGCAAACAAATAGTAAACTGTAAACAGCCCTGCCAGAACTACAGTGATTATGTGTTATCTGTTGATTGCAAGAAGACATATTGTGCTGTGATTACCAGGCCACTAGCTTTTGGGAGAGTGGCGACCTCGTGGTTAGGGCATAGTGCGAGCCAGACTCCCACAGATTGCCACTCTCGGTCCCTGAGCAAAGACCCTTAACCCCAGACTGCTCCCTGAGCGCTGCACAATGGCAGGAAATTGCTCCCCAAGGGGATGGGTTAGATGAAGAGTTCATTTCATTACACTGTGCTTGTGACAGTGCAATGAAAATAAAAGCTGGGGGGAAAAAAGTAAAATTTTATTTTGCTTCGAGGTCCCATGAAGTTGAATTAAAAGTTGAATCTAATCTAATCTAATCTTTAAACAATCTTTAGAATGATGGATTAACAGAAGGAGGATAGCACCAGGACCGGTGTCCACATCCATAAACATGTCATCAATGAAATTATTTCTCCAACTTCAAAGAAAAATATTAGTTCAGAGTTATCAAAGTGTCTGAGAAATTAAACTAAAAGAAATGTGCAACCTTTAAATTAAATTTAATTTAAAAAAAAGAACAATCCAAATCTAATTGTTTGATGAACTGGCTGATGAAAAGCCATACAAAAACCCCACTCCCTTCAGTTTCATCCCATTTCACAGTCTTAATTGTCTTCTTTAATGGATCAGTTTCGAGCTGGAGAGGTTTGTTTTTATTGCCAGATATCAGCCCTTTGATTGGACCCTCCTGGTTCCGTCTATTAGGGCGGGGCCTGGCTTTTACGCACACCTGGATTCCGGAAACGCTCCCACGTCAGAGGGAGAGGCTGTCATTGTTCAGAGGAATGGCTCAGGAATTAACCCAGGAATCCTGCCCGACTGGAAGCTTGATCAGCGCCTATATATGTTAGTGAGCAGAGGCTGGGAGCATCAGAGCCTTCAAGTCCGGAGGAAGGGAAACCGCACACCTGTTGGAACCAAGTGAATTGATCGGATTAGTTTAGAGACCAGGCAAACATGTCAGGAAACGCGAGTATTTTACCCAGCGATGAGGCGTTTGAGGACTTCAAGAAGCAATGTTTGGCCACCGAGAACTGGGTGAACAAATATAAGAAGGAGGCGATGGAGGTGTGGATTGAAGAACCTGTATACAGGGGCAGCAACTCACCTAAAGTACATAAAATCAAGGTAAGTTAGTAAAGATGATTAACTTGTGCTCATGTGTATCAAACTGTGGACTGCATATGTGGATCTGTGCACTTTGCAATCACCTGAGAGAAAATAAGAAATGGAAATTAAAATTAAACAAATGACAGGAGCTTTGAAGTTCCTGTTTGACATTATCCTGGAGCATAGCAGGAACCTTTGTGGAGATGAGATGAAAACTTCATTTATTATAATAATAATTAAAAAAAAATGTATGATTTGATCTGGATGAGTCATTCCTTCTTAAAACTTACAAAAAAACTTCACAGAACCTGGAAGTTTAAAGCATCTTAAACATAAATTCCAGCAAAACTATTTTCCAAATGTTGACAAAGCCCCCTAAGCACTTCCTTTGAATCTCAATTGAATTTATTGGGGCTGTTTTTTTTGTTTTTGTTTTACCATTCAAAGTTGCAGGTAACTTCCAGAACAGCTACAGACAGTTCATGTAAAATAGTCCAGATATCCTGAAACTTATAGATGTTTAGCAGCAAAGTCACATCCAGTTCATTCCACAGGTAGAAAAGTATATGTTTCAGGAAAGCTGCAGGTTGTTTATATAAAAGATCCAGATAGTTCAAACAATATGTAGGTAAAGAACAGGACAGGTCTTTTGAGGGTGCTTGGACAGTACATACAAGTTCCTGGAAAGTAGAGTAGAAATAAAAAATAGAAATACCCCTTTGTCACACATTTGGGGAAATTCAGCTACTCGGCATGAACAGAAAAATGTATAAAGCAATTTAAAGAGGCTTAAATGCCTTTTCTCATCAACCAATGTGTTCCATTTTTGCTTTGAGAGATAAAAAGGTTTAGGTTTCAGTGATGGAGCAGATGCTTAAAAAAACACTTTATGTTTCAGTGTAAAATGTCCATCAAAGACGTGTCGGCTGCCACCATGTACGATGTTATTCACGATGGCCAGTACCGTAAGACGTGGGATCCCAATATGCTGGAAAGTCGTGACATCGCTCGCATCTCTGACAACGCCGATTTTGGCTACTACTCCTGTGAGTACCCCTTTCTGTTAACCTAAAATTGAACTTTTAAGGTTTTAGTTTTCCAGGTGTTTGTGTATTTTCTTTATAACTTCCTTCAAGCTTCTCTGTGAGACGTCTGCACTACTTTTAATCCTTTCACAAACCTGTTGCTCCTGTTTTGGCTTTCCCATGAACACTAGGCGGCTTCCTGTTACACCAGAGTATTTATTGTCACAACACGTGGATCCAGTAAGAGTGATTTTTTTCTGCTTTTTTATTTGTTCCCCCCATGCAGGGCTTTGTCCAAAGCCGATAAAGAACAGAGATGTTGTGACTCTGCGTTCGTGGCGAGTGAAGGATGACGAGTACATCATAATAAATTTCTCTGTCAAACACACGGTACGCTTCCTCCATTTTATAATATATCAACCTTTTTGACACTTTGGTTGCACATATAAATTAATACATGTCTCAAATGTTTGCTTTAACTGTTCAAATGTATTTCTTCATTATTAAAGCATATTTTTGTGGCTTGTTTGCAGAAATATCCACCACAAAGCAATCTTGTGAGAGCAGTGTCCCTCCTTACTGGTTATTTCATCAAGCCCACAGGACCAAAGAGTTGTACTTTTATTTACCTTTCACAAGCTGACCCGAAAGGTAAGAGTATATATGAACAAACCCTGAAAAACCTTGCATAACCATTTATTAAAAATGTATTTCTAATTCGTGTATGCATTTTCTTTAGGTTCTCTTCCAAAATGGGTGGTGAACAAAGCATCACAAGTCCTGGCTCCTCGGGTGAGTTCTGCAGCACCTAATCTGGCACCTTAAACAGACAAGGCTAGTTCACTCCCTGCATGCACAATCATTGTGTGTCAGCATAGCTGCTGCTGATGATGAGGGTGTGCAGAGAGCATAAACCTGGCACATGTTAGGGGTGTGTTTTTGAGTTTCTATGTGACTTAAATGACAATGGTAGCCATAGAAACACAACTGAAGGGCCTTGTCCAGGTAGAACTTGTTGCTGACAAAGGAGAATCTCAGCTTAAGGTGCTGCCTGGTCGCCCAACCCAACCTGTTCCCCAGGTTTCAGATCTTGCTTTAGTTGAAACTATTAAGAGCAAATTTAACAGATGCAGAAAGTCCTGAAAATCAAAAGGAGAAATGGTTGAAGTTATGTTAAATCCATTTAGCTTAGGCATAGGTTTCTTATTAATCTATATAAGAATTGGATTTAAGCATGAAGGAGATAAACTGAATTAATTAAATTATATTCAGGTATCAAGTCCCCAATCCTTAGGTTTAGGTTTCCTCCAAAATATGTTGTCTGCAGTTTCTTGGGGTTTTTTTTTTTTGTATTTGACAGAAAATTATTGGCAAAACTACATAGAGGATCAAGTTAACAAAGAAGATAGGCAGCCATTGTCAGTTATGTAAAAAGCAAAAACTTTAAAATAAAAAGATTTAACAAAACAGATTATAAAATTCAGCCGAAGTAACCACCTCTGGCCTGGCATTGTGTTATAAATTGTCAAAGGGTGGCGCCCTGCCTCTGCAGTAGGATGCCTCTCCAGAAGCATAAAGACCCTCATTGTTTTCCAAAGGTTTTTTGCTTTTCCAGGTTTAAAAGTAGCCAGTCTGCTCTGCCTCAGATACTTTTATTAAAACATTCTACTGATTTGATTGTTTTGTCTTATTGGCTAAGAAACTTATTGTATTTATCCATCATGGTCTATAGATCAGAATGTAATAAAACAGACCAGGACAAAAACCTCCCTCATCTGGCTTTAATAGTAATAGTATATTTTTCCCACTTTTTTATCCTTTAACTTTAAAGTCTTTATCATTTTATAGCATTTAAAGATCCGAATGAGGAAACAGGCTATTTTTTTAAGGTCACGAATCATCTACTTCCTCAATGCCTAATAAATCTAAGGCTTGGTCTGGTTGGGCTGGTATTAAACAAAAACTTGCATCAATTCAAACTAACATTGTGCAAATTGTGTATCTAATTAGAAAACTGATTTATGGTAAAAGTTATCTAATCTTAGCTGAGTTCAAGAAAAAAAATTATTAGAAGGTAATTTGGTTAAATTTCTCATTTCTAAAGCCTAGTGATAACCTATTCTAGGGATAATCATCTTGTATAATTTGAGGATTAACAAACATGGATGCAATGAAATTGATTTAAACATAAAATTTATTATTTATATATATATTATATATTATATGGCCAGTTTTACTGTTAACTAGGACTGGGGTATGGTAAAACTCTTCGTCTTCATGTTGCAGTCCTCTGATCCTCATTTTTAATCTCTCCAGGTGATGAAAAGTGTGCACAAGGCAGGACAGAACTACCCAGCATGGAAACAGCAGCACCTTCCTGAGGTGAAGCCCTGGCTCCACCCTGAGCAGAGCACCCTTCCCATGATGGACCCTGCCGAACTGTCCATACAGAGATCAGACTCGCTTGAAAACGTGGACGAAAGCTCCAAAGTGGACGCTCAGGAAAGTGAGGACAGCAGCTAAAAATCGCACACCACTAAAGGAGGAAAGGAGGCCAGAGAAGAGTTTAGGGGATGACCTGTATATGTATATATATTTTCGTTTTTTTTTTTGTTTTTTTTTAAGAGAGACTTTAACATCCCAGTTCTCTGTGAGATCACCTAAATCCTCAAGTTTTCCACATCAATGTGCCTTATGGCAGAAAGAAGAGCATCAAGTGTTTACATTTGTCTTAATACAGAAAAGAGCACAGATCAAGGCTTCATTCACCTCACTCAACCCAAGCTTGTGCACACAACTGGAGGTGGGGGATATTTTTAAAGCGCTATAGTCAAACGGGTCATCTGCAGGGGTATCTGTTTTTCAAAAAGCTTAATTTGAAAGGAAATGGAGTGCAGCTGCTGGATATTTTATTTTGTCTGTATACTAAAAATAAGTTAATGTTTAGTCCTGATTACTAAAACACAACTTCTTTTAACTTTTTTTTTTTTTTGTATCTCAGAGACCATTTAAAAAAGTCTCTTTATGTAAAGGGACCACCATCTAAAACTCATTTGTTTTTGATTAAAACATATTTGACAGATATTTAGCTGTTTTTAAGAATAATGTATTTGTGCAAGTTAGGTTTTTTTTTTTTTACTGGAAGTTAATTTTTGACTGATGTTTGCCTCTAATGTGTAATGAAAAAGTTATGCAATCAATTGAAGCACAGACGTCTATCGTCACCTTAAAGGGAAAGAACCATTTTATGTAAATAGTAATTCTGGTTTACTATTGGAGTATGGTCATAACCACAACTGTTGTATTTATTACACTAAACTTATGAAGCCATGAATGGAATGACGTCCTTTCGGCTGAAGTTAGTCTTCCCTTTTATTGTTCTCAGAATATTTGAGTTTGACTTTTTAAAATAAACCCGACAAAGGTTAACATACTGCAGTAATCTGTGCCATTGACTGCATTCCTCACATAGGTTGGTTTCTCCAGAAACTGCATGGAACGAGTTTTGCTACTCGCTCTGGAACAATCCAGTTCATTTCCAGCCCTGGTTCAGGTTCTTCCAGTATAGTAAAAAAAAAAAAGGTTATTAGAGTTTGAGCCATAGTTATTCATCTTTATGTGCCACGTTGCTTTGATGAAAGATGTTCAATCATCCTGAGTCAAGCTTAAAAGCTCAGCCAAAAATTACACAATCTTTTACTCGCACGGTTTAAAGTGCAGGCGTGCAAGAGCAGGTACATTTTCACAAAAAGCTTGACAAACTTTTGCATTTTGTACACGTTTTTTTCTGAATGTTTCTATTTACATAGCAATAAAAATAAATCACAAGGCCATCTCTGTTAACACATCCTAGCTGGCAAAACTACTGACATAAAATGTCCACAAACTATAGCAAAATATTAACCAAATTGCCTAAAAACATTTATAATTAATAACACAAGGAATAAAAACTGAACAAAAAAAGGAGGCAAAGGTTTAATATTTAAAATAATCTGGCACTATATCAATGTAAATTATTTAGATGGTTTGGTCCAAACTGATGGCCTTTAAACAAGTGTTAAAGTACTAATGAGATGTACAATAAGCAGTGCATTATGGGTAATGGCTATTGCAACATTACTGTAAAACACACCAACAGCAATGGTTACAGTATATCTAGACCTAAATTTCACTCATCTTCTTTCAGTCGTTTTAACTTGATAAGACGATACACTCAGGCTTATTTTAGTCATTTTAATAGAGCGGAAATGTTTTGGAAATCAACTATAATCCATAATCTTCTGCCCCAGTTCACAAACAGACAGAAACGGGAAAACAAGCTGTGATCATGTAGTGGTATTCTGAATTATTCCACATCATTAATCCACATAACTTTAGCATGAATAGCAAAGAGCATTTTTTTTCAATAAAGGAAAAACATGCATAGGTCTATCTTACATTCAAAGACCTTCACACAACAACTGAAGCAATTCTTTGTATCTAAAATTAAAAAGTATCCTACAAGAGGAAACATAGCAGGTTACCAAAAATACTAGAGCAGTTTATGCCCCTATAAGCCAACATTAAATAGAATACAACAAATAAAAAGTAGAAATTACTGGTTCCTACTGAATAGTTGTCAAGGGACTTAATGAAATATAAAGCAGTAACTTTGTATATATGCAAAATTACACATGAAACCTTTTATAAAGCTACATTTGTCTAAGAAATATGGTACAGTGCGAGACTACACAGAGCGGATCGTAATACATACCAGTTAGCAGAGTGGCAGAAAAGAGGGCAGGACTTATACTGGTTACTCTAGTAACCACCAACTGCCAAGAGAACATAACTTGCATAACAAGCAACTGCCAGTAGCAAAATAATTTTCTTCCTCAATAAAATGGATATGAATGATACAATAACTATTACTATGTTTGCATGTATGATAGTAGTACCAAAAAAACAAATTATGATTTATTTGAAAGAAAACAGGTGTAAGATCAGTGATCAGAATACAAAAACCAAGAAGGAATGGAGCAATAGTCTATTAGAAAACATCCCAAAAAGACAGGCCAATCTCCCCCTGGATAACATCCCCTAAAACTCTCTGCTGCGATCCTCACGCCAAACTGTTTTCACCAGCAGAGCTCTTAGCTTGAAGAATTAATGCATATTTTTTCCAATATCTTTTCCAGGTGCACTTCCTGACAAATAAATTGAACATGTTCGTTCTCAGCTGAACACTTGAACCATCTTGAATGGATGTTTTTAGAAAGCTCCTCTAGCCCTTCAATGATCCATGACTCGTCTGCACAAAATAAACTCTCATTTCCAGCACTTAGACCAGGGGGAGTCTCTGCATACAGTGACCTCTGACCCTGCACCTCCTCTCCTCAGCTTTGTTTTCTATATTTCCTGTGAATATTAGTCTTCAGCTTTAACACCTCCAGCAGGGGAGCCCTTACTGGTTGATTCTTTTAAATTTCCACATTTGGGCTTTATGAAAAGCACATATATAGACATGTAAACTTTATGGTTCTTGAAAATATACTGCTTCAACTGTGTTAATGATTCAGATATGAAAAACTTCAAACAAAAGATCTGTTACAATTTATATTTGATTATAAATATTTTAAAATCTCCATAACTCTACACACAATTACAATTTTTGATCATTACTTAAAACAGTATGTTTAGTAACAGAACAAATTTATCCAAAGTGCTGCACTATTTCCTCTTACAGCTTAGGTTCTTAAATTGATTTTGTTTTTACAGCTTCGTATTAGTGTCTAATGTCCAGCAGTCTATAGATTTGCTAGTTTCTATCATTTAGGATTTAGTCCCAAATACAGATTAGTGTTGTAAGTTGTAGGTCTTTTATCTAAGGCCACGTTCACAATGCAGATATTGATGCTCAATTCAGATTGTTAAAATATGTTTTCCCTGCAAGATTGTTCAAACTACTACTTTATTGCACCCAGTAGTAATCAGAGCCTGGATATCTGATTCAGTGCCACATATAGAGGCGGCACAACTTGGAGATTTTTCTGGGAGTTGAAAAGATCGGATGTTGGACATTCTGACCATCATGAAAGTAGGAAATTAGTTGCATATGGGCAAAAACAAAAATGGATTATAGTGGCATTTACCAGAAATGGGAATGTAGCCTAATGACCCCCCGCTGTGAGAAAATATCTTTGAACTAGGGGAGAACTGAATTTGCACAAACCAAAAAAATACTACCGTACACATGAGAAGTCCCAAGCTGTATAAATAAAATATATAAGGTTAAAATTTCTACTTTTCCAAATATGAACTACATAACTACATGTGAAGCCTGTGACTTTTTCTGCACAACATGCACCATTTAACTGTTTTCAACCAGTAACATGGTGGGGTTTAATTAGACATGAAAATCAGTCTTCCTGAAGCTGTGTCAGGGTAGCCAACAGTTAGTAAAAACAGTAATGATGTCCAATGAAGTGTAGGCTTAGGTGAACTGCTGCCACCTAGTGGACGGTTCTCTCCTTCTGTCTTTGGTAGTCTGAGGTGGAACAAAAACACATAATTATTACACCGAAGTGGTATCAATATATCTACCTTTTTTTTAAAGGATACATAATATTGTGTTCCTAGTATGTTATATGCTTTTATTTTCAATACCTAAACATAAAAAAGTGGATAAAGAGTGATCAGGTGAAAAAGACAATGGGAAAGTGAATCAAAGCCCAACATATACAACATGCTGACTAAATAGAATAAATTGTTAGATATTTACAGCTGGGTTTTTTTGTAACAAACTTGTCATTTAATGTGAATTATATATATATAAAGAAATATACACTTACTGTAAGGAAAGAAGCGAACTTTCATCATAATTTCCCGAGCAGTCTTCAGAATCTCTACAGCCTAAAGAGGGGGAAGGAGGTTATTGACATACTTTAACAGAAGGAAATGTTCAAATCAGTGAATTTTACACCGATACTGATGATATATCTGTAAACCACACAGCAGGAATCAACTGCCTCTCTAGGAAGTGAGTTTTGGACATTTACCTTTCTCACTTTCCTATTCACTGGGTGTGCTAGAAACGTACCTTTAGAAAAGGGTAACTTTAGGAGTATAGCTATTGTTTACAGCTATTTCATGATTTAAAATTTTTCTTTTCCCCATCTCAAAAAAAAGTCCAACAAGATGTCAAATTAACACAATCTTTCAATACTGTTCCCACATTTTTGACAATGCAACACAAAACTGTTCCTTTTTTCAGGCAAAATGAGATTCACTCTTAACAAACTCTTATTTAAAAAAATGTTAAGTTTTACATTTCAGGCTAAATATCCATGTTTTCTCTTATATTAGAATGAGAAAAAGAGGTTATTACATAAAAGACAAGGCTTTATCAGCCTTTAATTTTGCTAGTCACTACCTTTTCTGCACAACCAATAGTGACAAAGGTAATTAGTTTTAAACTTTACGAGTTGTGCTACAACTTACTCTGGAGTGTTCTATGTCTTGGAAATCCACATCATTCACAGAAAGAACCTGATCTCCTTCCTGAAGTCCTGCTCTATGAGCATCTGAATCCGGGACAACCTGAAAACACAAAAGGGAACTATTACTACAAAATCACTCTGTTTTTGGAAAGAAGGCAGCGATGGGTTATAATTGCTACACCTGGACAAACCTTAGATATAAAGATTCCTAGTTGTGATGCTTTGCCTCCACGAATGTTGAAACCCAGCTGGGCTCCTGGGGGTTTCTTTAACACAATGGTACGAGGCAGGAACTGGGTGAGCTCGTTGTTGTAGTCTGGGTGATGAACACGCTGATAAACAGACCAGAATCACACAGTGAAAACTAGATGTTTACATACTATTTGGGAGAGCTAACAGACAGACTGTTTTTTTACAGTCAGTAAAAAAAAAAATCTAAACAAATAAGATGTCAAGGAGAAAAATTGTAAATCAAAATATTATTTTGAACAAAAGGCACCCAGGAAAAATCTAAAGACATTTATACTAAAGGTTCTCATACAGTGACAATCATATCATACCCTATATATATTTTTTTTTGTTTGTTTGTTTGTTTGTTTTTTTTTGCTTGTGGAAGATCTAAAGAATGTTAAACATTCATATTAGAATTTTCACACATAAAACAAAGAGTGTCACAGATCAGACAGACAGATTTACTGAATATGTATGTGGTCCTTAATAGTCAAGGTCCAAGTATGGCCATTGCAGAACTAATAGTTAATATTATGAACATTATTTATGTTCATTATGGGTGTTCTTTGGTCCAAAAGGCAAGAAAATTAAACACTTTTGCAAAATATTTTTAAACACAAACTGAATTCAATCAACCATGACTTTTTTTTAATATATCAAAGAAACTTCAAAGATTTAAACTTTTAAATGCATTCCGTGAAATTGGATGACATCTGACTTTATTGATACTTTATAGAGCTGTATCTTTGTTGCGAAAGTAGCTTTTCAGTAAAGCAAAACATTATAGTTTAAGTTAACTGAGCTCCGCCTCCCCTAAGCACAGATCTTCCTTCAGCTACAAAACAAACGTCCACCAGAACCGTTTATGTCCGAGCTCACCTCCTGAGGGGGAATCCACGCCGGTGGGTTCTCATAAGAGGGCAGGAACACCACTGGCAGCTGATAATCATCATAAGGAATTTTCTGATCCATCTTTCATTTAAACTCCTATCACAACAGAAGTTTATTAGCATTTCACGTTTACGATTTATTCTAATACACAGTATATATAACGGACTCAATATATTCAGGACACCTACTATATTAAGTGTCTACTGAGTAATGTACAATAATAAATATTTTATGTCTAGTTTAATAAAAGCAGTGACATTTCATTACTTAGCGTGTGCTAAAAACTAAATGCTAACTTACACTGCTAACTAAACCAATATCTTAAACAATTCGCTGTAACCATATCATGAATGTATTTTCTACTTCTTACTATTGTTACCAAGACTATTAAAATATTGCAGAACAAATTAAGAAACAAGAGCTGTACGCTTTAAAAGATTTTTACCTGCCTGAAAGCTACCAGCTCGAACTTCCTCTGCTGTGTCCCTGACGGAACTCAGCTCATTACCGCCACCTGCTGACAGAAGAGTTATCTTTTTCTTCTTCTTCGTCGTCGAGTTTATTTGGCGGTTGACAAACAACTGTAGACGCGCATTACTGCCACCACTGTTTTGGAGTGTGCCAAACTGCTCCCATGAAGCATCATTCCAAATTTTTTTTACTGTTATACGTTTGACCTTTTTTTTTTTTATTTTAAGATAAACCTAACCGACTTACTGAACCTTACTATTCAGTATGGTGGAGTGTTATATATTTTTTCCCGTTTGCCATGTCTTTATAGATCTAAACGAGGCTCGACTCTCCCATGAAAGGCTGTACAGTGATTTTTTAGCATAAAGTAAAATCTTGTTAAACAAAAGATGCTGGTTAAATGGTTAAACAGTCTGCCCCCTTCAATGTTAATCAGGCTCGAGTTTTGTCCCCAGTTTGATTTGATTTAAAGGATAGTTTAACTCCATACATTTCCATCATAGCCCTCTCCCATATGTGTTTCTACTTCCCTCTTTGGTCCAGGATTGTATCACAAGGTCAAATAAAAAAAACCTATTTGGAGAATATTCAGGGTTAATTCATCAGCATCACAGCCATCATTCATTCATTTAGTCAATCAAAGCTTCATTCACCAAAATTATTTCATGTGTTTTAAGTTGATTGTCCACTTGATGGCAGAGTAGTGCTGCTCAATGCTCTATGAAGCTTCATCTCTCCATCATTGCTTATTTCTATCTTCACAAAGATTAATCAACAGCCGACACCTTGAGCAATAGGGGTTTTAAAAAAAAGAAAATGATTAAAGATTTTATTATTATTATTATTTCAGAAGGAAGCAGTTTGTGAGTCTACTATTATAAAGAAAAGCTGTAAATAAAAACTAAAATCACATCAAGGGTTGTGTCTGAGACAAGCCCTATGACTCTCAGTATTTCTCTAAGTATTGTCTCATCAGTTTACTATTATGTTATTTTAAGTTACAGTTTATTTACACATATTTTAGGGCACCTGCGAACTTTTAACCAGTTTTTATCAATGAAACATTGTGATCCCTGGATACCAGTTTGTCATATCACAATCCATTAAAGAAAATAGATCTCCACTAATATTTACCCATATTGATTTTTTTTCAGACATTCACCAGATAACTGTTTTGCCCACATTATCATTTCGCACCCACACACCTTGAAAATAATTTTGATACATAAAAAGTGTATGGAATGCAATAACCAAACAAGAAGTATGAACAGAAATAAAAACAAATAAAGTCTTTCCAAAAATGGCTTAAAAATAAAATGTAATTTTAAGACAAATTGTTAGATACAGACATTTTATAAAAAAAAAATGTCCAGAAAAGCTTAATGGAGTCTAATAAACTCAAGTTTCTAAGTTTCCTTTCATTAATTTTGGCTCAAATATTTAAACCACTTTTGCATGGGTAATTCAAGGATGCACAACATGCACATGCAGTATTCCTTTTAACCTCAGGCAATTCTAGTTTTCCATAACTTCAGTTCCTTTTTTACCTTAAACAGATATCAAATGGACTCAGTGCCATTTATGTATGACTTGCATATATTTCTGGATGGGGTTATACCGTTTAATTGCAGCTATTATAATAACTTTCCTTCCGCTCATTAGGAATAATTAACAGAACAACATCCTGCCTGAGAGATTGGGCAATTTACTTCTTGATGAGTTTAAAAGTTCTAATTTCCATTATTAGTGTAATCATGGATCTCACTGAAGCACATCCCTGGGTTGTTGGCATCATGTCACTCTGTAAATGGGTTTTTAGAAATGTTAAGTCTTGGTTTAATGAGCTGGTTTCTCTAAGACGTTAGGACTGGGTTAAATTTCTCTACTTTCTTAGTTTTAGTGAGAACAGGGGCAGCAGCATTATTGATCAGCTGTCTGATTGACGTTTTGGGTAAACCCGTGAAGATAGCATTGCAGAAATCAATTTAGCAAAAGATAAACACATGGAGGATGAGTATTTCATGATCCCATTGGGACTTCAGTCCTTTGATCCTGGAAATGTTGTACAACTGAAAGAGGACTGTCAAAGTAATATTCCTTTTTGTGCCTCTGAATGTTCAGGCCAAAGACCATCAATACTCTGAGATCTTGACCCTGGTCTGTGTTTTCTAATATAATAAGTGAAGCTGTAACTTAATAATCGTATTTAAAGTGTGTCTCATAAGCCCTGAGTCTGAGGATCCACCATAGCAATGGCTAGATTCCCATAAGGAGAACACTCCCAGAACCATAGCATCCTATAAGCTTCAACATAAAATTCAGCAAACACAATCCAGAACAGTCTATTTCAATCCACAATGACTTGAAAGGATTTCGTAGTACCAGCCTCTATGAAATCAGCTGTGTGACAGTGCTATGGTTCTATTGTGAGTAGTATTTGGGAGCTATGGTATCCCCTTCCCTCTCTCTGAACCTCTCCTGATGCGGAAAATGTGTTGTGGCAGCAACATCATCTCGATAAAAACCCTGTACAAACCTACATACAGAATACCCCTAAGGCAGCTAGCTACCCTAAAGCAGTTGCCATTTTCCTTAAGGGCACACCGAGGAGAGTCATACGATGTCACTTCAGGGTTGGGATCAGTTTGTAACACAGGTAGCTAAATATTTGTTATAACTTTGGAAATTCTGCAGCAACTGCATGTTCGTTAAACCAGGAACTTTAACATCCCATCACTAGGAGGCCCGCTTGAACTCCCAGAACGATGATCTATTGTAAAGTTGTTGAAAAGAGACCTCTGCCATCTAAAAAACACACACAGCAATCATGTTGCATGATATTCGCCTGCATGTTACTTATGTCATTGACAAATTATTGCTCATATTAGTGAGCTAACATTGCTTCCCAAACTCTCCTGTACTTTTATACCTGACAGGAAGACACAAAACCGTCCAGTTATTTAAAAAGTAGTTAACTATTGAAACTGGTTTTTAATATCCCGCTAATAACTAATGAATAAGGATTTGAGATGTCAAGACCTGGTGGAAATACACCAAATTGGATCAATGAGACAGTATGACAGGTTGAACTTTCTTAAAGAAAGTTGTAGGTAGCATTGATGTAAATATTTGTAGATATCCCCAATGGGCAGACATCCACAAACAGGAATCCATAAGCAGTGTGGGAACTGTGCTGCTGTCAGTTGTTTTGTTTTTTCTTAGCAGCTGAATTTGCCTGGTTCTGATTATTGTGTTATGTTTATGGCTTTGATGCTGAAATTTGTAAACTACAGGTCAGTAAAAGTTTGAGTTTGAACAGCCTTAATATTAGGTGTATTAACACGCATAAGGTTATAACAACGATAAACTCATTTATAGATAAATTCAGGCAGCCAAGGTTAGAAAAGAGGGAAGCATTTAGGAGTGGGGACAGACTTGTTATGGTCGTTAAAGTACAGGTTTATCATGGAGAAGCAAGATGTTAAATGAGTGTTTTCAAATAGAATAAAAAAGCACCCCATCTGTCTGGAGGGGGTTCAGAAAGATATAACTTTAAACCTAAAGCTCCACAAGACTCTTGACTAGTAAATAAACTAAACCTGTGACTCCTCCATTTAGCTCCAGTCTCAGTGTTGGCCTAATTAAAGGTAAAGAGGTATAAACTGCAAAAAAAGCTGATCAGCTGTCTCCAGTATTCACATTTTTAACACCTCTCTGGAGATATGCAATGTCTACCAAAGACAATAATGGAGCAGTTCTACTCCACCATCATTAAAGCCATCCTCTCCTCCTCCATCATCATCAGTTTAGCTGCTGCCAACAGTAGGGACAAGGGCAATACATTTCACTGATAGAATACAAAGAATGAATATTGAAATCCTCGTTTTGTTGTGTTTTTAACCATAAAATTATGGTATTTAACCGTGAAATTATTTGTTTAATTATTTTAAACACTCCACAACTTTTCATTGTGTATGCGTGTATATCGTTGATTTTCTATCACATTTTTTGAGTAAAAGTTTTCATATCAATCTTGGTTTCAATTTAATTCAGTTCAAGCTTTCAAATAATATATTTGTCATGATTTTGACGCTGATGCCGGGCTTAATGGCTCATTTCATTCACCTGTCTAACTCTGCCCTGTTCCTCATCAGTGCTTATCTGATCCGCCTACTCCTGCTTCCTATTAAACTCCTTAGTCGCAGCCATCAGTGCCAGATTATTCTTGGGCCTTTGGTGTAGAGAGTTTTCTAGCGTTTCTATAGTTTTCTGATTACCTGATCGGTTTCTGTATTTGGACCTTTGAGCCTGCCTGCCCCTGTCTGCACTGTTTGCCTGGCCTGTCTTCGGACTCCTGTTGGATTCTTCTGTGGACTGAATCTGGATATGCTTCTTGACTTCGCCCTGTGGATTATCCTGCCTTCCTTCATCTGCTGTGATCTGATCTCCTGTCAGCTCTGCAGCCTTCTAGGCTCCCACGTCTGGAATGCTCTGGCAGAATCCACTGCATCTTGTCAGCCGACCAGCTGGAATCATCCTTGTTCTATAGGGACGGACTGAACTGTCAAACCAGGTTAGTGATTAACACATTCATAATCATCCTCCATCAGATTATCATGGTCACTAACCTGTGTTTCTCTCTTGTAGATGTTTTTGTGATAGACGCCCTAACCGCTGACAGCGCAGATCCTGGTTAAATAAAGATTTTAATTTATTCCACTGTCTGTCCTGCCTAAAAAAATTGGGTCTTCTGTTCTGAAATCTTACAATATCATCTGCTTATCAAAGTTTTTTGGGCTTTACAATAAATCTTTTTTTGTGTTGGATTTGATGCTGTTCCTCCAGCAGCTCTGACTCAGTGCATACAGTAGCAATGGATCTCAAAGTCACACTGTAGTCAGTCAATGTCCTGTCCAGTAATCATTTTCAGTGGTGGGTAAAATATCAAGACAGGATATATCTATATATAAATCTATACTTCTTCTAAGCAGATTTTCTATAATTGTGTGTCATTTTGTCCACATTTGTTTTGATTAGAGATAAGTATAGTCCTGGACTTTGTAGTGATGTACAGAATACAATTTAAAAATTCGGAATTTTCTCAGCCTTCTGATGTTCTCCTCAGAGATTTCTGTAAGAAATTTTAATGTGAAAGTTTTCTACGAGCTCATTTACTGATATACGAGAGAAAGTGGAAGTGGACAAGCAAACTTGGTTATATGTTTAAGTTGCACTATTTCTAACAATGTGTTTTCTTAAAAGTCCTTTTTAGTCAATTAAGTCAATGAAAATGAGACTATTGCTGATGGTGTATAGGGTTAGGCAGAGATAACCAGAACATCACTGCCCACCCGAATATGAACTCAGCTTAACGAATGAAGCCGAGTTGTTTATGTGTTAGTGAACACGCTTGCCTTTTACGATTACCAGTGAATGCAACATTAAACAGTGTTAAGAGTTTGCTTATATAGCATTTTCAGTGAGTCATTGGTCCTGATTTTAATATACCAGGATTTTAATGATCCCATCCCGCACCTGAAATTTTCTGGGGGTGACCCACTGAGCATGGTTAAACTTAGTAATGGAATCCCTGACTGTAAATGATCTACCAGACGAATAATTAATGTTGAATACAGTCAGTTTACTTGCCTTAGGGAATGATATTTGGAAAGTTGGACCTTAAAACTCTATTTACAGTCTGCTGTTTCTTTCTTATCTTAGTAGCTGTTTTTGCTGTTGGACAGAAACTTTACAGCATTCTTCCACTGTAGTCCCAAGCTTTCCTGGAAATAGTCACAGCTGTTAATTTTACCACCTGAACAAGGTACATATCACAGGAAAGATTCTAGAATATAAATATTACCTTTAATACACTGATGGTTCTTACAGACCTTCAGTGTAAGAGAGAAAAATGAATAGTCAACCAAAAAAACAGGAAACTAAAGAAAATAAAGAATACACTTAAAAACAATTAAGAATGTATTTGCTCATAATCTGCTTATCCAGGACTGGGCCCTGGCAGCAGCCTGGGAAGTAAAGCCCAGATACCTTGTCCAGCTCCACTCGGGGAAGACATGAGACATAGACCCTCTAGTGTGACCTGGGTCGTTCCATCAACACTGGTGGCCGGGATAAAATCCATGCTGGACAATCCTGCACATCCTCTTCATATTGCGCCTTCAGTCAGAGATGCATTTCATCACGCTGCACCACAGAAAATCATTCTTGCCTGGGGCCATCAAATTTTATTTTATTTATTTATCTAATTACTTTACTATGCGCAATAAGACAGTTATGTGCAATATTTGTAATTTGCTACTGAGCAGCTTTGTAAATACTGTATATATCCTGTGTATTCTGCCATCCTTATTTTATTCTTTTCCTTACCTAATTTTATTCATATCCTTATTTTATTCTTATATCTTATTTTTACTTGCAATCTTAATTATCTCTCTGCTGCAAACAGTTTCACTTCAAGAAAAAAAATCCCAGCAAGGGATTAATAAAGTAATTTTGATTCTGATTCTCCTAGTTTAAATGTGGAGGACATAGAAGATGCCAACATCTGAAGGTTGTTTCAGAAATGTTGACGCGAGAGAGAGCTGTGCAGGAACCAACATCTGTGCAACTAAATAAGTATAAAAACTGTAAGGAAGACTGGCTAAAAAGTTCCCTGCAGTGATGTGTGCATAGCTAAAATGTCAAAGAAAGGAGTTGTTCCTGCCAAAGGTGGATGTATCATGGATCATTTAAGAGCTTCATTTCTTGTTCAGTAAAGAAAGGCAGTCTGTATTTACAACACTAATAGATAAAGTGAGGGACTGTTTTTTTCTTAAAATTATTCTACAGGTAAAGACTGAAATCTAAAGTGTTTATTATGTTGAGCATGAACCTTGGTCAAAGTCTGCTGAGGTCACTCTGTACATGAGGTCCTGGTGTACACCTAAGTTCAAAGAGAGGACTACCGGCTCACACGATGTTTGGACTTATTCCACCCCCTCACGCCATCAATCTGTTAGACATATTTGGCACCGGCAGCTTATGATCCAGTAAGTTACTCAATAAATGGAAAATTCCCACCATACCCTTTACTGTGTGTTATGACCTGGACTTTGTATCTGGAGTCATGTCATGGTAGACATTCACCTAAAAAATCCGTCATTATTACGACATATAACTTTTTACCAGAGGACTCTTTCAACAACTTTGGGAGGAAACAATATTTCCTGTAGTTCTGTTTTAGTTTAATGTGCAAATGGCATTTCTATACATGCATGTGTGAGAATATATCCTATTTTTCTGAAATGATGGTTTTTCTCATAGAAATTTAACAAAATATTGAGAGCTGATGAAATTTTCTTGATGAGAAAAAAACTGGAGATCACATGAATTACATGTTTCATTTTCAGTTGAGTTATTAGCTATTACAAAAACAAACAAACAAACAAAGAAAAACAATGAAAGACTCAGAAAACATTCACAATAGTTCATCATTAACCCTTTCAAAGGTCTGTTCCAAGTCTGGCTGTTTAAAAGGGATCTTCAAGAAAATGAGAGCTGCATTAAGGTTTTTATTATTAAAGCTCCCATGAACTCATAAACTGAGAAATCCCTTCAGTTATTCAACTTGGTCTGCAATAATAATCAAACTCCAATTAGCCATGAGAAGCTTCATACTAGCCCTAATTTCACATGACTTTTTATGGAGGTCAGATAGGGATGGACAATAACTCAATATTAAATGACTGACTTTTAAACACATTTCTAATATTTCAACATTCCATTCTATGATTAAAGCATTTGTCACTGACTGATGTGTTTGCTTCTAAGGGATTTGTTTTTTTTTTAAATCAAACATTTCAAACATGTTATATTGGAGTTTTATGAAATTCTTTTATTTTGTTAATTTGGATATCATAAACATTTTTATAGTATGTAAAATTCTGATTTCTTATTTTTTTTACTTTCTTATTTTAAGTTTTTGCCTTATTGTCCAGCTCTAGCACTGCTGCCTTGTAGTGAGAAGGTTCTGGGTTCAATTTTCGGTCCTGTCTTTCTGTATGGAGTTTGCATGCTCTCCCTGTTCATGCGTGGGTTCTCTCTGGGTACTCTGGCTTCCTCCTACAGTCCAAAAACATGACTGTTAGGTTAATTGGGTTATCTAAATTCTCCTTAGGTGTGAGTGTGTGCATGAATGGTTGTTTGTCCATTTTGTCTCTGTGTTGCCCTGCGATGGACTGGAAACCTGTCGCGCGTAGACAGCTGGAGATAGGCACCAGCACCCCTCACGACCCCAATTGGGATAAACGTGTAAGAAAATGGATGGATGGATGAATGAATGGATTGATGGTTGCCCTGCGATTGACTGGGGACCTGTCCATGGAGTAGTCCGTCTCTCACCTGTAAACTGCCGGAGACAAACACCAGCCCCACAAGGACTTGCCGGGAGAAAATGGATGCATGCCCAGCTCTGGGGCCCCTGACTCACCTTCAAAATCTGTCAATAAAAGAGCTTTTCTCTTACCTTTTACTTTTCTTGGTTTTAAACAAATACCTGCTAACCTTAGTCTCAAAATAGATAGGCAGTTCACACCTATGAAAGAAACATGCAACACAACTTGGTGAAATGAGTAATTTTTAATTCATATTTTTGTTTTTTTTCTCCATCAAATTTAAGAGCATTTCTATATAGGAAAAAAAAACAAAGCACCGTTCAAACATATCAAAACAGTTGATAGATTTTCTGAAAGCGCCATTATCACATTAAAAAGCCTCACTCTACATCTAATATATTGCATGATTAAAATGTGTAAAAGCTTAGGTAACACTCAAACCTCACAGAATTCTAAAAAAAGACAATGAAAAACTTATTAGAACAAAGAAAACATGACATATTCATTATTTATGAGACTGTTTTGTTTTCATTTTTTGTAAAGAGAAATGAGACTCCAAATCTCAAAGGAAAACTGCATATTGTATAAAGGCAACTGCTCACCTTATGGGAAAAGAGCCATTAAGACACATTTCTTTTGATATATAAATCAAGCAAAAGGATTTTTTTATAGAATAAAAAAAACTAAAAGAACAATATAAACCATTTATTCAGAAATATTTCTGCTTATGCCTATATTTCCCTTCACCAATTGGCTTTGAATTGGCAACACAAGATGATGCAAGTTTAGGCAAACCAAAACACTTCTCTTAGCTGTTGTTAGTAAAAAAAAAAACATGTTGTGGTACACAACTAAAATAATAACCACAAGCAAAAAGAGGTTAAAAAAAACAAGGAAAATGATAGATTGCTGCATAGTCAGAGACTAATTACAATTTGCTGGGGTTTCCTTGGAGAAACCTTTTTTTTTTTTTACCAGTTTATTGTAATTAGGGTAAAAGTGGAAAGTGTGTACCGGTAACTTAATCTAAATTTGACCCGCTCGCAGTTTGGAAGAAAAATGTCAGCTGAAAAAAAAAATACAGGTATGAAAAAATCTTTTACATTTGCAAATTCCTTTAACAAGCTTTTAGTTGTGCGTGCTTAGGTATTTCCATATTTGTTATTTTTTTGTAAAAATGTTTTTTTTCGTTTTGACTCCCTCATTTACTTTTGCTGAGCTTTGACACCATCCAGAGATCCATCAGCTGAGCTATTGCCACCTGTAAGCTCATGTTCCAGCCCCATCACTCTTTCAGAGAGAAGAATGAAGGAGCTATTGTTGCAACTAACTGTAATCTCCTCTCATCCAACATATCTTACTACCAGTCCTCTCTCTACAGGTTCATTCAGGAGGTATTGCCATTCGTCAGTGATTAAAGACACTTCGCAGGGTTCCCTTCAAACAGCTTAATAACTTGGAAAAATATTGGCATGTATGCAACTCAATCTGTTTATCAGATTGAAATGAGAAAATATATTTCTCATACTCACTGGATCCGTCTGTATCAGACATCATTAGTTATAAACTGGTGCTACATAAAATACATTTAGCTTTCTTTCCTAATCATGTCGCAGATTTTTTTAAGTCGCTGTATTGCTCCATAACTAAAATGTGCTGCATTTCCTATTTACCTGAAACAGAACATTTTCCATGTTAACATATTCACTCAGCATCTACAAAACACTATAAAAAAATTCAGTTAAATACATTAGCATTTTACTAAGGCACTTAAAAAAACTGTGAAATGAGAAAGGATCCTGAATGATTTCTTTCCTAAACAGGTTCTTTCAAACAGTAATTTATTCTGAAACGGCCCCATCGCTGAGCACGTCGGGCGGAGCGTCCAGGAGCTCGAACATGTCGTCGATGACCTGCCATAGACAGTTCTCCAGAGGAAAGTCATTGTCCACCAGATTGACCAGGAAGTAGTTATCATGGATGTATTTGATGATCATTCGTGACGGCGACTCGTCTTCGTAGAGTTTGGCCCACTGTTCGATCCACAAAGCAAAGGCCTCATCCTGAAAACACAGGAACAAAGATGTGCATCTAGTATCTTCACAACATAGTCTGCTGCGTTGATTTATTCTGAAGCCTTTTCAACACCATGATAAAAACAATCAGTAATTCTATTTAATAACTTTGGGGAAAAAACGTACCCATTTTTGTAATTTAAACAACGTCAATTTTAGTGTTATTGAAAAAGAAACAACAGCTAGTTTAGTTTATTTAAATTAATTTATAAATATGAAAAATCTAAAATAAAGTTCAAAAAGCAGCTTCAGAGGACAGAAAATAAAAGAAAAACAGAAGATATGACAGTTGTTTGTTTTAGGAGACACGCTATATAATATATATTACATTGGAATTATACTAAAACCACTTAAAAAATAAAGTTAAAACTCTTATCATTACATATTCTAGTTCTATTACTGAAGGAAAAAAAAAAAAAAAAAAAAGGTTTTAGGAACAATGACTATACAATGCCTCATTATCTTGTTTTTCTATCAATCAAAGGTGGGTAGCTTTGGGGCTCGGGTTGAATTCTCAATGCAATCTTCTTGCCATGGTCTTTCATGCTTCAAATTCAATGTGACATGACAGACGTCAGACTGAATGGTTCAGGATATAATAATATATCATCTGCGCTGCTGCCATCAACACTTTTGTTTATAGATGTTGGAGCTTGGCCTGTTTTTCAGTGTAGTCCTGTTTCTCTGAGACTGGCTGGATGTGCTCTCTTCATCATCTGACATGGGAGCTGGCTTGGAGCTCGTCTGTCTGGCTGTGTGTTTCCTTGACGGGCCGCCTGTGCAGCTGGTTTACAGTTGCCTTTTGTATCTCTGCTTCTTTTTCTATGTCTGCTTCTGTCTCCTTGAACCCCAGTGGGCCTCGGCAGATGGCCGCTCACACTAAGCCTGGTTCTGCTGGAGGTTTCTTCCTGTTAAGAGGGAGTTTTCCTCTCCACTTTGGCTACAAGAACGCTTAAGAGTGAGGGATTCCCTTTGATTCAATGAGTCGATGCAATCAACTGGTTTTCCTTGGATAGAAAACTTTGAACCAATCTGAGTTTATGATCTGGTTAAATTGTCTCTGTAAAGTTCCTTAAGATGACGTGTTGTTGACCCTATATAAATAAACTGAATTGAATTGATAATGACCCGAATGCTCAGAGAGAGAGAACGTAGACGTCTCACTGTAGAGCACTGTTTATGGACATAATGATGGGTGTGACTGTCACTAGAAGTCAGGATGCCGGTGTCTCTGTGTTATTATTAAAGTCTTTAGCAATGGAGAAGTATGGAAAAACTGCCCCCACCTAATAACAGTGACCATTAGACTGCTGCTGCAGAGAAGTCTGTAAAGGAGCTCTGGCAGTGGCGTATAAGTTGGATAAAATGTTGCGCAAATGTTCATACTGTAGACACTATGGAAAATACTTTAGTGGCACATGTGAGAGATTTTTCTGATTTTATTGGAGAGTGAAAAGATCAGATGTGGATTAACCAGAGGAAATTCCTGTTGTCTAATAACCAAAGACTCCTGAATTCCTTCAAGCGACACTGGGTAACTTACCTTCCAGTACATGAAGCTGACTGGGTCGACCACAGTGGGCTGGACAATCTCTCTGCCTGGGAAGATGCCCCATGTAACCGCATTGGGCTGCATCTCGTGTGCGTTGGTCATGTTACGTCCCTGCATAGAAAATAATCAAAAGGCCTCTTTTAAATCTGTTCTCACACACTGACTAGAAAGAGTGTCACTGCTTAGACCTACGTGCACATTGACAATGTGATAGTTGACACGAGGCTCGTATTTCTTCAGGACCTTGAGGAGAGCCGAGACATTTTCACTAGAGGTGAAAAACTCAAGGTAGGCCTGTTGGATGGAAAACAGGACAACTGAGACATCATGTCAGACCCAACAGGACAAAACAGGGCGGAGCTTCAATGTCCAGAATAAAGCGTTTCACCTTCTGAAAGACGTATCCCCCTGGCGGACCCCAGCCTACTATGGGGTCTGTGGAGGGTTTGCCATTGATATTGGGCTGAGAGTTGATAGTGAGGACTCCACGTTTGTTCACCTTCTCAAGCTCATCTTTTAAAAGGTTGGTCTCTTGGGCCAATGGCTCATCGTTCCAGGGTAAACACATCACCTAAGGATGGAGAAAGAGATCCAGGCTTAGCCAAACATAAAATGAAGACCCATACAATGATAAGGCAGAAATTAAGATTTAAATATACAATTTTTTTTATCTCTTTTCCTTTTTTCCAACTTCCCTGAAAACGAATTGACAGACCGATCCATTTCTAATAATCATGGCGCCTCGGTGGAGTTGGCTCCAGCGCCATCTAACCATGACCAGACTACATGTACAGCTCAAGAAAAGTATGTTTTGTGACTCCAGGGGGAACAAAACATAGATCCAAAAACTTGAATGCTGTTTAAAAAGTTAAATTTATTTTCTCACCAGGTAATTATGCACTCAACCAAAAAAAAGGGAAAATCTTCCTTTTGTCTGATCTAAACCTAGGTCCTTGGGTTAAACATCTTTATTATCCATCTATCTTCCTGTTGGTCAAGTCATCAATCACTGGGCAGTTTCCTTCACCGTTAAGCTGATGACCCACAACTAAATATAAAACCACAGAGTTCCACAGTCCTCTTTATTCTTATCATTATCTATAATTATTATCTGTCTCAAGGAATAAAAGCTGTGACTGGAGCACTGTTTCCTCCTGCAAACCAATTAAAAAAATGGAAGCTTATAGAAACTGGCAGGCCTCATCAGACTCCAGTAGCATCTACAAATTCAATCACCTTCTCTGCGGGCAATATACCTGTCTTCAATTCAGTCACTGACCCTTACAGACATGAACCTCATCTCTAAACAACATATAAATAACTATGCAGAAATATTCTTTGAGTTTGATTGCTGAAATGTCAATCCAACATCATTGTCTCCATTAGACTAGAAAACTGTAATGCGCTTCATTGCGATCTTGAGCAAGAGTTTGCAGAGATCCCATTCAAACTCTAGTGAGGCAAAACAGCCACACACCTATTTATTTTCTAACATCAGCTTTAAGTCTCAAAAAAACTAAAACTATGGTTTAGTTTTAGTCATTTCTACCCTACAATCAATCATTTTGTCCCATTTAGTATAAGCAACATGTTCTGAGTGGAAGTCTCTCTACCATTATGAAGATTAACTCCAGACCTAAACTATAGAGCATCTGTGGAGGAAGCTTCAGAATCAAAAGGCAGTTTTCAAATCCCACAAACTCGAAGCCAATTCCTGCAGGTAAATCATCAAATGTTGAATTGCCTCAAAGGATGCTTCAAGTAAGTTTGTTTTTAAATTTAAATATATTAGAGGTAAATTGTATTTTAAAACTTAAGCCTTTTTACTGCTACTAACTAATGTTATTAAAATGCATCAGAAATAAACCTCTTGTCCCAATGAACAATGAATAATTTTACGTCTAAAACTCACGTATAGATAAATGTGGGCTTATCTACACGTGTTAAATGACACAATGATGCAGCTGGCATCTGGTGTTACAGATACCAATTCAAATTAAGTAATTAATTAAATACTTAATTAATTAAATACTTAATTATGCATGCATGCATTAGTAGAAAGCTGCACCTGTATTTTTTTAATGTTCTGATGCAGTATCCTCTGTGATCTATTCCCACAGTAAATTACATTTTCATCCCTCAAAGCCTGTACATAATTTCAAACAACTCAAATAAAACTGCAAGCTGCTACTGCAAGTTTAAAACTCTGGTTCCCACAGTAACAATATACAGAGAAGATCCTGAAAGACATTGAAAAAAAAAAGTGTGTTTCAGAGGTATTTTGCCAATAAGACAAATAAACAGAAAATCCAAAGGACACGGAGCGTTAATGCCGGTTGTGCAAGTACTACAATGATTTAAAAAGGTCAGGAGTGCCTCTGTGTCTGTGACAGTGAAGTAATAAACATGAGCTAACACAAACACCAGCCATTACCTCACTCTTCTTGGGACAAATTAACAAAGGAAAATTACTGTATGCAGTTTCATTGAAGTGACATAAAACCCGAGGATTTATTGAAGAATGCACCTTTTTACTTATGTTGACAGTATCTAATAATGTTATTATAGAGGAAACACTAAATATTTAATAAAGATGATAAATTTGAATTCTAAGGGAAATGTTTGACATGTTTTCCAAGCAATACAAACAAGGCTTTAAGAAATATCTCAGCAGGTTTTGACATTTGACATTACTTTCCTAATGAGCTGTAAGGATACCAACTTATGTGTCTGTGCATCGACTTATTTACCCTCTGTCCAATTCGGTTTGGCTGGGCAGTGATGTAGCATGTGAAGACCTCAAAGACGCTTTGTTCGTTCTTTAATTCCTCTCCCCACATCTGGAGAAGGGCTTCCTTAGAGGATTTACTTTTTAAGTAAAACAGGTAGTAGTCATTAAGCTCCCCAAAAGCTGGAGATGAAGAGTTTCCCCTAAAGAAAACAGCAGAGCAGTGAAGTCAAACTCACACTATCCACCACTGCAGTTCACTCAAATACTTCAGGTTTTAATTAGAACTAGAACTCACTAAGAAAATATATAAATGACTGAAAACAATTTGTCTCTGATTAGGCCTACCATCGACCGTTGGGGAACTCGTCCCAGTCCTGTGTCCTGTAGATATAGCTCTTTGGTCTTGAGGCCCAGAAAATGGGTCGGACATCTTCCACTTTCCGTTTAGGGTTGGCACTAACAGCCCAAGGAAGAGGACGCCTAGCAAAAACAAGTTGTAAGACAAAAAAAAAAAAAAATGTTCAAGGGGAATCCAGCCTCAAAGCCATAAACGTGGAGAGAAGAAAGTCGGAACAAAATTTCACGCAAGTTGAAAACTCTAACGTATGGCTAACGTTAACCAGTCAGGGGATGCATGTGGTTGTGATGTGGGGTTAAGCAGCTTTTCTTCAGTCAAAAACTTAACAGGTGGGGAAAATGGCTGAACTGTGTGTGCTCTGAGCCGTGAACCAGTGTTGCACCATATTCTGTGCCCCATCATAAATTGTGACTCATTGAGCACAGAATGTGGTGCAACACCGGTTCCTGTAGCTAATATCCAATCGGCTAAGCGGATAGACGTGCTTCCCATTTAACGACGCAGTGAAGCAACCTGGGTGGAATTTCGCCGTGGTGTCTGTGACAGGGAGGTTAAATGTAAAAAAATGACCAACGCTAGGCCATCCACAGGGAAGAGCGACCGTTTGGTATCCTTAAAAAAAGAAAAATGCTCTTTTGCCAGTTCTTTTTTTTTAACATACCAAAGCCAGTAGAGGGTTGGTTATACCCGGCAGCAGTGTGTCGCAATAAACTTGTCGCAGATACTTCTGATTTATGCCCAATATTGAAGCGTGGTCTGTGCTGTTATTCCACGCCACAACGCAAGAGGGACAATCATGAACTAGCTGCGGGTCTGTGGGTACGGCCGCAGCAGTGAGGAAGTAGGGGCAAGTTTGAGTGACAATGGAGACTACATGAAGGCGAAAAAGAGCAGGTGGATCCTGGTGGAAAAAGGGTCCCAGCATTTTCTCGCACCTCGCTCTTCTAGCTGGTCCATCTTCATGAGTCGTTTTCCTCAATGGCGGTCATACAAACAAAATAATCCGGTAAGGTACCAAACAGGAAATACACATAGGGCCGGATTTATCAAGATCCAATTTTGCGTGCAGTAATTTGCGCTCGCAAACTGGAATTTTGCGCGAGGGGCTGAACCATGGTTTGCGGGTGATTTAACAAGAGCGATTGCGTAACTGGTGGCAGGTGCAAAACTGTTGGAGACGCCCTATTTAAATGATGGTTTTGCGCGTTTTGTGGTTTGCGGCAAAGTAGTTTGTAGTTTGTGCAAACTAGTGCATTAAGAAATTTTAATCTATATATATATATATATAGGCCTACTTTGGCAACCTTTATTCCCTAAGGTGGTATGTGTCTGAATTTCTACTTCACTGCAGTAAAAAAAAAAAAAAAAACAGGTGTTTTGTATTGGCCTGTATGCACATATCACATGGCTCATACCCGCAGCATTTGGCAGGTTGCTCCACAGGCGCAGGGGGAGAACCCCGACCCCGTCGGACAGCACTTCGGACAGCACTTCTGAAAAAACGAGATTGGGAGATCCCAGCTCTCGCTGCAACCGTACACTGGAATGACCCAGATGCAAAAAAGTGCAATGTTGCAAGGAGTTTTGTGATATCTGGTATTGCGTGGGTCCTCCTTGTGGCTGGCTCCAAATCCATTCGGAGTTCCCCCAACAGCTCCAAAATGGCAATGCTGGATAAACGATATGTTTTGATGATCGTTTCCTCCTTCATTCCAAAAATATTCACACGGAGTGAAAAAATGCGTTCTCTGCGTCTCCTTGCTTCATTTCGATGTCTCCTTCTTGCGACAATAACCGCTGCCATGTGTGCGCAATTACGCATACAGACCATTTGCACCTTCTTTTGAAACGTGTTAAATATAGAGTCAGATACCGTTAGCAAAATTGCTTTCAGATTTGATAAATCACTTTGCGAGTGCTAAATTAATATATTTACATGTTCTCCTCCCACAAGACGCACTTTTGCGTGTAAACGCCCCATATTGCATATTCATTGCAGAAAAAGTACTAAATGGATAAGAGGCGCTATTTAGCACGTTTTAAAGACCAAATCCTTTTAGCACGCTGTTGATAGATCAGTTTGTACATTTTAGCGTGCGCAGTGAAATAGCTCACGTTTTAATACACGCAAACCTTTGATAGATCCGGCCCTTAGTGTAGAGTGGAATTAGATTTGACCAATCAGAGGCCACCTGACTGCGGACATCTACAATTTTGGAGCGGTACACCAGAGTGTTTGCGGAAGGGGCGGGGGCATATTTGCGTTCACTACGCCACACACGTAGCTGAACTGCTTTCTGAGTATAAACCAAACTGTAGTGTGACATCACCGACAGAAAATGGCTATCCAACATGCTGGATTGACAAATGATAGCGACAAAAATACTTCTGAATCTTCATTAAGTGAACTTATTTCAATGGACGACAAACAGAACTCAGTCGGCCAACAGGTCCTGCAACTGCTGAACCATATGTTCAAGCCTGATGCCTCATAGGAGGAGGAAAATGTTTAGCCTTTATTTTAAGGCCACTCAAAGAATCTCCCTAACCTCTTCAAAGCAATGCATTGCCACACACCTCTGCGTCGTTGCAGGTTACTGAAGAAATTTTTAGCATCTGTCAGATGGCATGACCCTACTGGTTTTGTGGCTTCAGCGAAATATTTGGTTGCTAAGGTGGTTGCTATGGCGCATTTTCGGATTTGGCTGAACAATCAATATTGTTTGCCGTTCGTTACGAATAACCATCTAGTCATTTCTGTGAAAAAAATGTAAGCTCAATTTCTCTTATCAACTAACCTTTCTTCCCATCTATAAAAGCACAGTTTCATGCAAACATTACGGCCATTAAAATTCAGTGCATCAGCCTAATTTCAGTGTAAATTTGACAACTTTCAGCGTAACCAGTGTCAGTGCTGAAATGCTCTGGACCGAACCCTGAAGAAGGGAGACCATGTCAGTCAAAGGGCCGATGTACTATTTTTTTATAAGAGTATCAGCCTAAATTTCAGCACAGTGGGATCAAGTTTCAGCATTTGAAAATAGCATTTGCCAAACATTAAAAAAAGACTATATTAATGTGTGGAAAGAAGAAAAAAAGCATATGGTTTCACAACACAGAACTATGTGTGCAAATGTGGATTTCCTTTTTCACTGTCACCGATGCATTTCACACCTACCTGGGGTCTTCTATCCAGAGGCCCAGCTGTCGGAGGACCTCCATGGTTGCAACTTCTCGGTTCAGTGTGTAAAAATGGAGGCCGGGTACCTTTCCGCTGTCCAGCAGTTCGCGACACATCCCCACTGCCTGGTGGATTCCATAGTTACGGATAGCAGCATCGTTATCTTTGATGGGTTCAATTACTTTGGTGATCTCCTCTGGTACTTCAAGTTTAGACAGCTTGACAAGCTGACGTAAAGACTGGTATCCCTGTAAAAATATAAACATACAATTAGAGTCAACATACCAGGGGACTCCAGTTTAAACTATTCTTCTTTATTCTACTTCAGGCAGTGTATATATCACTAGGCCAAACAAAGAATGTGGCTCTCCCATCTTCTCCACACAAGTCGCCAGAACTCTTCAGTCATAAGGACACAGTCTAGTATTGTTTTAAAATTTTTTTTAGATCTGTGCTTTTTTTACACTGTCAAACACTTTAATTTAGTGTCCCATTTTAGATCCTTGGTCAACGCATAATCTGGAGTAGGGTTTTAAAAAGTCCCCTGAAATGATCCATACGTATCTGGATACAGTACTAATTTGTAACGGTATACATATTAAACACAATTGCTATTGTTGCTATTGTTAATTTTAGACTCATAGTTTATTTGCAAATTAAAAGAAAAATACCCCAAACAACCTAAAATTATTGTTAAAATGTGTTAATTAGGTTATACAGTTTTCATTTTTGCATGAATTTTATTTTACAATTCTTTTCACAATTTTTTTTTTAATAAATTAATAAAATCTGTGATTCTGTTAAGAAAGCAAGTGCGGTGTTGAGATTAAAAAAGGTTAGTTTTTCATGTTAATAGGTTTTTTTTAACTCCATGGTATTGAAAAGGGTATCCAGTATCAAATATTTTGCTTTGTATTGATATCAAGTTATAAATTGAATTAATGTGCTAATTAAAATGTTGACATATTTAAAAGAAACTGAGAAAATGTTTTAAAGACAATTCAAGGAAACATTTACATCATATTTAAATAGATAGAAACGACAACAATGAGAGAGAAATATTCAAAGATCTATGTACCTTTTCTGTATGCAATGAAATATTTTCTAGGGATATAATTTAGGGTTTCCTTTTGGTAAAAATTAAAGAATGTTTAGTATCACCTCTTGAGAGCTGGAAGAAAACAAATATTGATAGTAAAGGGATTTTTTACACTTGGCAGAGGACGATCAGCCACAAAGTTTATTAAGTAGCGAGAGCAGGTAGAGACATACTGCTAAGAGCGAACCGTCAGAGTGGAGCGGGAAGCGCAGACTCGGAGCTAAGCTCGTGCAAAGACATATTTCTGCACAAACATAGATGGAAGATCAGAGCAGTTTGTCAGAGTTGAACGTACACTACCGGAGTAATCCTTGTTATTTTTTCAGACCCTACCGCTGCTGCCATGATCCATCTGTGCTCCTGCAGCATGTGCAACGCTACACGGTAGGTGGGCAGCAGGATCAAACAAGACGCAGCTACATGGCTGATACTGATTAACAGATTACAGCACAATGATGCAGTTTCAACGTCTGACTGACGACCCGCTAACTTTTATTTTGTATCGTCTTGTCGATGAAAACTCAAACCAATGACTAGTTGTGCTTTAGTCAGCAAAGATGCACGTTTAGCTCGTCAGTTTTTGTTATGATAAAACAAAAAAGAGCATCAAGAAATTATTTTGTCATCCTCATCGTTGACGAAAACAACACTGCTTTTGTAAAATAACATTTTCCCTATATTAAAGGGGAATGCCGTTTTTTTTTTTTTTTTTTACATTTGGCCCTTGATTTTACGTTATGACATCATGTTCTACTCACCCATATCAGTTTTGTCTCATTTAGAGCTGTTCTGAAGATATTCGGTTAGGTTATATCCAAGTAAAGTCTTCCCATGGGCAAATGACTTGAAGGCACGAACTAAACTGTTCATTATTTATCAGTTATGGTATGCCAGTATTTATTACATGTAGGCGAATCACTGTCGCCCTGATATCCGGTGCTGTATTTTTTATATTTATATTTTTTTTAAATAAAGCGGCGTCTAGTCTAAAAAATAGTCAGCAGATTAATCAGTAAGAAAAACAGAAACAGGGAGCTTGGCGGTTTAGATACTTCACTGCCTTTTATGAACAAAGTCCAAACATATTAATGTGCCATTTTATCTAATCAGTAGGTATAATTTACAAATGAAATGTTTAAGCCACGGAAAAAGTGTCCTCAGAGGAGAATAGGTGAATGGGTTCATGGCAATGATATAACCGTTTCCTAGAAAGAGTCCTTTGTACCTGAATGGGAAAGATTCCAGGTAGGATGGGACACGTGATGCCAATTGCCCTGCAGTCATCCAGGAACTTCAAAAACGTGTCAGCCCTGAAAAATAGCTGTGTTATGATAAAGTCCGCCCCTGCATCCACTTTCTGCTTCAGGTGCTGGAGATCCTGCTGATAGCTTTCTGCCTCAGGGTGGCCTGTTGGGTAGCCTGCAAACAAACTCTGAAATGACTGGAAGCTCAGATTGATGTGAGGGATTAACATTGTGTAAAAGATAAAATTGCTTAGTGGGAAGCATGAACCCCAGCCTTCCCAATAGTTTACCACGGGAATCCTTAGATCTAATTGATTACAACTGATGTCTATGGTCTTTCTCATGATCTATAATTTCTGCACCTGATTTTTATCTAATTAAATGGTTTATTGAGAAATGCAGAGGGTATCGAAATGATCCTAATCATTCAGAAAAACTACTGAAATATAGAACACTGGGAAACTTAGTCAGCAAAAAAAAAAAAAAACATACATACAGACCAAAAATAAAAAAAAAGCTACAAGCTAAGAGAGGTTTCAGTTTTCACTCTGGGAAACTGAAAAGACATACCAGCAACACAAATATCAAAGTATTCATCAAACTCTGATCGAATGTGTTTGACGAGGTCAACGGCGTAGCTGAAGCCTCCTTCCTCCTCCTCCCAGTCGTCTCCCACTGGATCTGCAGAGAGGTGTGGAACAAAAAAAATTAGCTTTAACAGTTAGTGTGTAGATGTTGTGGGCTGGTAGCATAATCTATTAATAAAACAATATTTAGTGAATGCAGCTAAAAAAAAAATTAAACCAGCTGTTTGTTAGTCCATCAAAGAATGTTTAAGCCAAGTTGCAGCAGACCCAACAAGAAGTGTAAGTAAGACTGGAACATCAGAACCAAACCCTGGCATAAATCAAACCTTAGCAATGAAATATTTTAAAGACATTTTTAATTCTCACAGAGGAAAATGCAGAGAGGAGCTAAAAGATCATTCCTCTCCTTTAACTGCTTTTAGCTGTCTGCTGGCTAATAGTTAGCATGAACTGGTTTGTCTCTTTAATTTAACATATTATATATTGTGCAATCATCCTCTAAGAGGGTCTGGTTAAACTGGAAAGAATGCATCTTTCTATAGGATCACTAATGCAAACTTTACAGTAAAAGCCCAAGTAGAAAGTATTTGTTTCTCCTTCCCTCTTACAAGCTGTATGTCTGCACTGAGTAAACACACATTTGCTCAATGATGTGCGTTTGCTGTGACAGAGCAATGACAGACATCATGAATGCATTGGAAACATGCACTTAATCAAAAGAGTGACAGCAGAAAAAAAAGAACAATCTGGACATATTTTTTCTTACTGAGACTAAAAGGGCTGCACATTAAGTCTGAAAGAAGAGAGTCTCAAGCCTTTTCCACCAACAAACAGCAAAGGATCATAGTGTTCAAATATCTATAGGACCATGGAATTGAATGAATAAAGGCAAGTTTATATACTGAATTATAAAATTAAAAAAAAAATAATAAAAAAATCGATGAAAAATTATATATTCTACATTATTGTGGTTAAATTCTGCTACAACTGTTGTTGCAGCTGGAACAATTCACACCAACCCTGCACACTAGTACTGCCACATAATTTCTTAGAAGTCCAAGTTAAGTGTGGCTCCTGCTTTCTAAGAATTTAAAGCAGCAGGCCCATGAAGCTCTTATCTCCTGAGGCATACATGACAAAACTCCTAACCCAACAAATGCCACACATCCCAGAGAGGGGCTCCAAGAGCATACCTGTCCTTAGCAATGCATGTTAGTTCCCTTACCTCCCCTTAGAGCCATGATGTTTTTCAGCCCCAGACGCTTTGCTTTAGCCAGGTAGCCTGTGATCTTCTCCTTGGTTTGGTTGCAGCAGGTGAGGTGGAGGATGCTCTCCAGGCCGCAGTAATTCACTGCTGTGCTAGCAATCATCATAGATGAGGTCTCTTTGTCTGAGCCTGGGTCTCCAGCTGGGTGCCAGGTGATATCAATAAAGAGGGGTCCTCCAGAACCCATTCGGTCAAATCTGTTACAGGATGAAATTATACTCATTTGATTCTCAAACAAGCTCTCAGCTAAGATTTTACTGTAACTTGAAGTCATCCAAGTAGTGCACTTCAAGTTTTCTGGAGTTTTTCCTTTAGATCATTCACTTAGTTTAAGCTGAGCCTTCTCATCTCAGCTCACAGATGCCCTTCTAAAAAAAAAATTCCCATAAATATTTCTCTAAAAAAAAGTCCTAGAAGAGGTGAGGTGACAACAGCTGTAAAGAAACTAATACAAACCCAAAAAACACTTTATTCACAAACACAAGGGGTTGACTTTTTGGTTTTTAGTTACGATTATTAAACTAAGGAGCTATGTTGTTAAAAACAGAACCATTTTGAAAAACTATATATTTTAGGGTCTGGTTAAACTTGAAATTGGAACCACAAGTTACAATTTGCTGTAATTAAGACCGTTTATCGCTAAAACACATGGGATAAGATTTAGGAAGCACATTAGAGCGTACCTTGAGATGAGGTTGACAGCCCCGCTAGCTGTGCGAGGAGGAAAGAACTCCAGAGAGAACCAATGATCTCCAGAATCAATCCTCTTCCTCATCTTTTCTCGCAGTCGGTCAATGCGATCTGCATCTAGTACTGGCGTTGAGCATCGAGAGCTCTCCTTGGAGCTCTCCCCGCTGCTGTTGCTGGCTGCGCTCGAGTCGCCTTTACATGAATGCCAGCAGCCATCCACTTGTTGAACTTGGTTCACCATTTTGGTAAATAAAGCTGGATAAAGAAAAAAGAAAATGTTGATGATAATCTCTGCAACATTGGAAAGGTGTAGCTATATCACTTTGTTTCACTTCACATAAACTCTGTATTTATAGTTGATCAATAAAGACATCTGATTTTATAATCTCTTTCTGCACTGCACCATAGTAAAAATTATACTACTATTTATGTGTATTTTTTATTTCAGCTCATGTAAAGAATTTCTTAACATTTTACAATCATTTAAAGAAGAGATTCAGCATTTTTTGGTGCAACACTGAAATCTTTCCCCATGAAATGTAACTTTATATTGAATTAAGTTTAATTCAATCTCACAATTTTGGAGAGTAAGCTGGAATTTGGAAATGTAATTTCTTTTCCAGATTATCTTTAGTGCTACAGATAATAAGCCTTCTAATTACAGACATGTATTTTACAGCCATTATTTCAGCACTTGACCTACTTCTCCTTTAAATGGATACTTTTCTATTCATCTTTCTGTACTTCCAACCTTGTTTTAATATAAACCTGTCAATTATTTTTCAAATGTGTTGCATTAAATCCTCTGAATATTGTCCATCAGATGCAAACTGATTCAAATAAAGATCCAGATCCAGTGGCATCATATTAAAATAAGCTTGAATTAAAGCTAATGGTGGATCAACAAAGTATCAATGAGATGCTGGGAATTAGTTTTCTATTTGCAATAATTACCAACACACTAAACCGAGTTAGAAATGTATTTTTATTTTCCAGAATTTGCACATAACTTGGTATATATATGTCTTATTGATTTTTCCCCAATGTTAAATCTAACGTTATGACCAGTTACAGCTCTTGATTAGCCTTTTAAGCAAATATTCTTTAGCTTAAACTTTAGTGATAATATATTATAGTATTACTACCCTTAAATGAGTAGAATTTTGGGGTACCCACTTCTCCATTTAACTTCATCAGATCAAATCCACACACAAAGAAATACATAAATAAACGTTGATAGCCCATTAGCTCACTGTGGGATTAAAAACGAAACGTTTAGAAATTAAACTTTACTTTTTGGATCTAATCCTAAAACGGCAAACGCAGCTGCTCCCCAAAACCGATCCTTACAACACCCAGCGTTTAAATTCACATTCAAAAGGGTTTCTTGTGAAAGAGCAGACTGCCTACCTGCTCCAGCCCTGCGGGGTTCAGGGAGCCAATCTGTTAACGAAGGATCCAGATCCAGAAGGACCTCATGCATCGGCGGCTCTGGGGTTCTTGTTTCCAGACGGATGCTACTAAGTGCCGGACCGTTATGGTCCCTGTATCAAAGATGGACGCAAATCGGTCGTTAATTATTTTTAACAAAACAACACTGATGCGTCCTCTTCGTATTGATGTTTGAAAGCATGTGTCGATTAATCCAAGATGTTTGAGACGTTAGGTTTGTATTGATGACGCATGCTGGGGTGGGTGTTTAAAGGACCCTAGCGAGTTGCCGTACCACGTGAGCGATTCCTTATTTAAAATGTAAGACTGTGGCTCTGTTCGAAAACCTAGGACGGGTCCTCCAAGGACGCGGTCTACCTAGACTGGATCCTTCGAAGTCCTTGAAAATAAGGAGACCGGAAGAGTTTTGGCTGTAAATTCGACCAGGTCCACCCTTCGGCGGGTTTTACCGCCGTATGCTCTGTTGCTTAGCAACCGTGAACGTTGACACACAAAGCAGGAAAAGAATGAATACAGAAGTTTTCAAAACTGTTTATTTATTTATTTTTTATTGTGAAGTGAACAAAGACTACACTCACAAGAATCCAGAGTGGAATAAAGGTTCCAACCACCGGGAGCAGGAACAAATAAAATCAAATGTTGCTGTCATTCTGCACATCTCTGATGCTGCTGCTATTTTCAAATATCCATTACTGTAAAAATGTCCATAGCTGCATATTGGTTATTTATTCCCCAGTTTTATATTGTTAAAACACTTTACAGTATTTTATTTTTTATATTCTAACTCTTCCCTATTATGTTATTCTTAGACATTTTTCTAAGGACCATTGTGACCATTTTCAATAATCTTTCTGCTGCTGTAAATTTGCCCATTGTGGGACAATAAAGGGATTTTCTATTCTATAAAAGGGGTAGAAAGATATAAGTAAATCTAAACAATTTATTTATAAAAAATATATCTGCAAAATCTCTAATATTCAACAGCAAAAAATATGAAGTTAAGCATATTGTGCAAAACAGCAATAAAAAGATAAAACTCCTATCAGATTTATAGTCCCCAAACTGCAGATATATTAGAATCTGTCCTTTAATTACAGCCAAACCCATTTAATCAGTAACAGATTAAAACCTTTAGATAAACCAAACATTACCGCCACACATTGACTCAATAACCATTAAAACAACTATTTTTCATTATTCTCAGACGGAACTATTAAATGACTTGTATTATATTAAACTGAACTTCCAATTTTCACCACTGTTCGGCGCCAAGTAACCTTTCCTCTGATCACGGCTTGCTTGGTCTCGCAATGAATCCTGGGATATCCAAGAATACCGAGGATACATCAGACTCGTCCTTCAAATCGGGCAAAAAGAAGGACGCATTTTAAGGCCGCATAACGAGGACTCTTGGAATCCGACCAGACCTCGGCGCCGTGCTATGACGTAATCGGCCTTGGAATCCGGGTTTTTAGGATGCGTCCTAGGTTTTCGAACAGAGCATGTGTGTCTCGAAGCCAGTGGATGTATGATGGGGGTTGAGGCGACTTCCATTTTATAATAATCACTCTCCGAGCCAGAAAGGTCAGGAAAGCCAAGGAGGATCTGTGAAGAGAGGACAAGATGGGCTGTGGAGGTACAACCCCAAACAACGCAATCAGGGGACAAAGCTCAAATTTTACACCAAAAACGTCCGATAGAACAACAAAAACTTTAGACCAATAATTAGAAAGCTGAGGACAGAGCCAGATGGTGTGGATCAAATTGGCTGGGGAATGTTGGCATCTATCACAGGCTGGAGTAACGCTGGGGTAGAACTTGGCTAGACGTGCTTTAGTATAATAAGTGCGATACACAAGTTTGCACTGAATTAGATTATGTCTGGCACAAATAGAGGACTTGTGCACCAATGACAAGATAAGTGTCCAGAGATCCTCTGAAATGTCCCGTCAAAGATCTTCCTCCCAAAGTGATCTAAGGGAGTTCAGGGTGTGTGGACGCAAAAGCGTAATTTGATTGTAAATAAGAGAAACGGCCCCCTTCAGTTTGACAATAGGTTTCAGAAAAGTGTCTAAAGGAGAATCCCCGGGAAGGTTGGGAAAATTTGAATAAGTAGAGCAGACAAAACTGCGCGCTTGTAAATATCTAAAAAACTGACATCGCGGGATATCAAATTTCTCGGAGATTTGTTGAAATGAGGCGAAAGTATTATCAATGTACAGATCGTAAAAGGTTGAAATTCCTTTTCTCCGCCATGACAAGAAAGTGTCATCTGCGAGGGACGGCGGGAAGGTATGATTCAGGGCTATAGGGGCATAGACAGAAAGAGATTGCAGACCAAAATGCCGCCTAAATTGCCTCCACAGTCTTAAGGATGCGTCAACTATTTTATTAGAGGTATAAGGATTAGTTGAAGATTGCAATGGCGAATGTAGTAAGGCTGCCAAGGAAGCAGGTTTTACAGAATTTGCCTCTATATTAAGCCAAGCCGGAGAGGAAGGGCTATCTGACCGGAGCCAGTATCTAAATAGTCTAATGTTTGAAGCCCAATAGTAATATCTGAAGTTTGGCAAGGCCATCCCCCCAAGCTTTTTAGGTCTTTGTAAGAGTTCAGTGCGTATACGAGAGGCCTTCCCATTCCAAAGAAATTTAATAATTATACTATTAAGTTTATTGAAAAAGGACCGTGAGAGAAAAATAGGTATGCACTGAAATAGGTAGGAAAAACGTGGGAGGATGTTCATTTTGATTGAATTAACCCGAGCAACCAAAGAGAGGCCAAGCATTGACCAACGATCAAAATCTTCCTTAACACGCAATAATAAGGGGGAAAAGTTAGCTTTAAAAAGATTCTTATATTTAGATGTAATCTTAGAGAGCAGTAGTACCGTAGATAGTCACTAGGAGGCGAGGAACCGTCATAGTTTGATGAGATCTATAGTTTAAACACATTAAATATGAAACTTGAAAACAATAGACCAACAAGGCAAGAATGATAAGTGGATGGATATCCATCATTAGCTCAATAGATGGTGGGGTAATAAAAAAAGGTCCTTCCAGAATGATAGCCTAAAAATCAGACATTCAAAGTTCTTGGTGAGAATCTGAATTATTGTTAATCCTTCAATTTATTCATAAAACCTTGATGTGACAAATAATGCGGCTGTAGGTTTCCTTCAGACAGGTCTCAAACGGGGGCTTACCCACCAGTAAAGTGTACCTGACAGAGCAGTTATACATTATTGCACTGGATCAGGAGCTGTTGCCACATGTAGCCGTGTTCCCATACTTACAGTATGCAGCCAAGTGACCAGACATCCACTTCAAAGCTGTGGCCTTTCTTACTAAGAACCTCAGGGGCGACGTAGTTGAGTGTTCCACACTGCGTCTTCTTCCGTTCACCATCTGTCTTTATTTTAGTGGCCAAGCCAAAGGCCCTGGAAAATAAAGATGGTGTTTTTGTCACAATATAAAATAACACACTTATGGAAAGCTGTGTGCTACAAGTCCCTGCATTGGTGTTTATTCCTCAAAACAAGAGTGCAACGATGTGCAGCACCTAAATTACAGACCTCCAGAAAAAAACCCATAGAAAATAAATCTATGAATTCTGCACAATAAATCTGACAGCTGGTACCATAGTGCACAATACATTTTTTTGACAGATTTTGAATGATTTTAAATCTTAAGAAGTTAACTGTCCTGGTTTGAGGAAGAGCTTGACTCCATTGAGCTAGATGTTGCTTTGGACAGTCGAACTAACAGAATAAAGAAAAAAAATACAAAGACAATCCTTTAAATGTATATAGCTGTCTGACAGTGTACTGTGATGCTCTGCAGGTGCATACATGGTGGAAAATAACTAAGTTTGGCCTCATAGCTAGTGTGTTAGACTACTGATTTATCCCTGCAATGGTATTGGGGGAAACATCTAGACCTAAAATGGTTACAGACTGATGTTTTTTATTAAATGAATAAGCTGCCTTTTTTTAGTTAAACATACATGACATCCATGTAGTTCTGATATATGTACTAAATATTTTTGCTGTATTCAGAAAAAAAAAATCTGAAGCAGTAGATACATTATAAAGCCAACTCATTTGACTTCAGAGCTATGCACCAGTGAAAGTTTTAAGTGTATTCCGTGTATTGATTAAATAATAGTAAATGACAAGTTACGGGATTGAATAATTCACCATATATTGTTCTACATATTAATAACTTTATTTAAAGGGTCACCTGGATATCAGACTAAATCAGAGAAACTTTCTGATGTCTGCAAGCTTTCAGCAAATATACCCTTAAAGGCAGGGGCGCAGATAGGTTTTTGAAACTGTGGGGGACAGTTACTATTACTGGCTATTACTCAGCTATGACAACCCATCAATCATAATTGCCCATCATTGAAAGAAAATAACACGTATTGGTACCAAGTACTCACCAAACATGCCACATGACGTATGGAAAAAAAAAAGGTTTTATTTAAACATGGACTGACTTTAGGTGCAGGCTGTAAACACACAGAAACATGAACAGCAAAGCCTACATATATACAAAAACAAATTTGTAAATAAGTACTCTACATGGCTTTTCAATAAATGGCCTCAAATGAAGAAACAGACTAAGTGAAGGATCCAAAAACCTCTCTCCTCCGATCCTTGCCTTGAATATATTGTTGGGCAGTGTCTTTCTTGTTCAGACTGTCCAGCCTCTCTTGGTGGATGTGGCACACTGCCATTCCATTCAGCCTTTTTTGGGATGTGGTGGACCGCAACCACGTTTTAAGTCTGCGCAGGCCACTGAAACTCCTTTCTGCCTCAGCTGACGATGCAGGCACAACCATTAACAGTCGGACCACTGTCTCAACTTGCGGGAAAAGGGAGCGAACTTCCACAGGCATTGCTCTCAAGGTCTGTGCAGCATCTGCAGTGGTTTTGCAATTGTATTTCTTCTTGAACATAGCCAATTGAATCTTCAAATCCTCCCACTGGAGCTCGGGATATTCCTCTGCCTTTCTCTGAGTATCTCCCCCTACATTGCTTGCAGTAGGGGTCAGCAGCAAAGCCTCCAATGCCTTAAGTGATTATATTCCAGGCTGCTTTAATCTGTCGGTAAGTTGTGTGTCTACTTTGTCAAGGACTCTGTAGAAATCCACTCTGTGGTACTCCCCAGCAGATTCTGGCCTGTGTGCAGGTGCTGGCCCAGAATATCTCTTTGGGGGCCTATGTGTTCGAGGTAGAGCAATGGGCTCTAGAGACAGCTTCTTA